ATTACCCGACGCGCCTTTTCCTCCTCTTTCTAATTGTCAAGCCCAAATGCCGATTACTCTTTTGCTCACTGAGATAAACGCCAAAATTTCGAACCCATGGTTTTTACTATGTCCAAGTTTGACAATTTTTCACAATCTTCATTTTCAACTTTTGGAAGAACTTTGATAGCTCTCAGATAGAGTAAGCAAAGGGCAATGCAATGCAATTATTTGGCATATCTAGCTGGCTTTTCAATATCTTTAAAGGTAATTTTTTCAAAAGTCTTCAATTTTGCGAAGTTCTAAATTACAGAAACGCCTCGAACTCTAACAAATCATCGGATTTTGAAGCTTTCAAAAACCGATTACGATTATTCACTATTTTTACGAAGCAAGTGAGCGTTTAGCGCTTCGAAATATAAGATTTTGCACTTTACTTGTACACGCTGGGATGGAGTCAAATTCAAGAATTATGAAAATTTTATCGCTAAAGACCTTGCAAATTGGAGAGAAAATACACTCACTGGAAAGAGGAGGAAAAGCTGCATCGAATAACACCTTAGTTGTGCGCCGTTTCATGATCTCTGGCTTTTGGCATCACCAAAAGTGGAATTTGATAGCATCAGAAAAATAATTCTAAAAAATTTTCAAGGATGGCTATAGATACCGCAAAATTGTATTATATTGCCCTTTGTTTGCTCTATCTAACTGTTGCCAAAACTTCTCCGAAAGTCAAATAAAGATTGTGAAAAATTGCCAAACTTGGACATAGTAAAAACCATGGGTTCGAAATTTCGGCGTTTATCTCAGTGAGCATGACTGTTAAAAAGACAAGGAAAAGATGCGTCGGATAGTGCTTAGAGCGTTTCCCTATCTTCGTTCCACGTTTCGGGACAACCTAATAGTTTTGACCATGTAGGCTGATTAAACACATTGTAATCATCGTATTATATGATATATGGTATTATATGCCTTAGTCTTGTTATCTTAACATGAGCGGCCTTGAAAAAATCTAGAAAGATAGCAGATTTGCCTATTTCTGAGTAGAGATTCCCAGGGCAGTGATCCCCTCCTCAGTGTTCCCCTCGTGCATAGCAGGGATGGCTGCTGGGGATCATTCCCTTGAGGAAATGGGCAGTCTGTCGCTAATAGCTACAAACTCCATGAAGAGCTAGAACAATATGCAGATTCTGTTATGTATAAAGACTCTGACTTGAGTGCTGCGGCACACCCCTTTTTTTCTGCAGCATGAGGTCTTACCCATTTACTGTAGAGACTTGGCTTCTATTGTTGAACATCCGCTGGAATGGGTAGTATGGGGGAATGTGAGCAACATTTATGAAAACAGCAGGAATCTAATGGGCGTAAAAATTATCAATTTTGGTGCACGGAGCGCAATCACAGCAGACACGCATACGGCAACGACTGAAGAGTTGCCGATGACAAATTAAAGACGATTAGCTGTCAAAAGATGAGAACGGAGGAAAATTACCATAGAAAAGCGGAAGCGAAGTGATTTCCCCGCTCGATCCCCCTTGTGCATAAGGGGGTTTACTCCCCCTACTCTCAGGGGATCCATTCTCCGATATTGTCTTTGTGCATACGGGGGTTCGCGTGAGGAGGGGAGGGGACCCTCAGCGGGGCTCATTTCAATGGTAAAACGCACATCCCCTAAGGGAGCCTCCAGACCGCGCGGTTGCCGCTTTTGCAGCTGGTAGCCGCTTTCACGCCGGCTGCTGCTCTTGCAGCCGAAGCAAAGTGGGTCAGATTTTGCCTGTGAAGCGCATAGGATGGACTTATTCGGAGTGATAGGACGCTTTCTTCTTTTATCCCTTTTATCGCTATTGTTTCGTTTTGGGGGTTTTCTTCTATGTTGTAGTGAACAACTCTTTATGGATGTGGTGATGTGGTTTACTTGATTTGCGTGCCATTTTTCGCTGTTATACAATGGTGATGTGGTCGATTCGTTGTTGAAAAATATTCCTTTTAGTCTACCCTCCGCTATGGAGCTAGTTTATGTCAAAATGAGCGAAATAGTGCCAAACGGAGTTCTGCCTATCTAATTTCATTTTCGATTTCATCGGGAACCATTTTTGGAATCTATCTGATTTTAAAGCTATGCTACTACTATAATAGAATTAGCTATTGTCTATTTTGTAACTAAGAAACTTTCAAAACAAGCTACATCGAAAGATTACTTATAATTCATCAAACTGAACATTATTCTTCACTCGGAAACAAAAGAAAAACAGCGTTGTTAAGAATATATGCGAAGCGGCTTCGTCCTAGTCACCGAATGATATAAATTTATGCAAAACGCTGTTTTGAACTTTCTTTGTTTTCGAAACTGTTTTGCTATGCTGTATGAGGATATCGTCGTGAAACGAAATCCCAACGTACTATCTTTGCTTGGGTTCATGCTGTCTGGACGAACTCTTTCGAAACAGAGTCATTCTGGTGTTTTTTCGTCTTGAGGGTCGTCTGCTGTGAAAGAGTAGAACGTCGTTTTGCAACAGCACTCATCCAGTATAGTAGACGAGTTTCAAGACAGAAATGATCAAAAAGCTCCGCTTCACAAAACAGGCCCAAATGCAAAGATAGTGCATCGAAATCTTGTTCCACCGACACCGCTCCTACAGCACACTCTAACATCTTCAAAAACGAAAAAAGCACAAAAAACATCATTTTGAAACCATATCGCTCATGTATAGTGTTATCGTCAGAACGAAAGCTCAGTCGAAAACATCTTTTCGCAGAGATACAACTCAACCTGATAGTAGCATAGCTTCAAAACTAAAACTAAATTTGAAAAAACCTAGTTTTGTAAGAAATCTGCCGATTAGCGGGAAAGAATAGCCTGAAAGTAGGAAGTACATGAAGTAACTCAGTTTTTCACTACTTGGTACATTTTCGCATAAAAGAATGGCTCTTGGAAAAAGCCAAAAACAATTTTAATTCGACGATGATTGGACGCTTTAGCATCGCAGAACAGCGAAAAAGCGCTATCCAGATCAAAACCATACCTGTAATGGAAATGTTTAATATAATACAGGAAAGAATAAACCGAAAATTAGGGCACTAAACCATAAGGATCCATGAGTGCGAATAAGTATTCTCTCACGCGCCCCATAGACAAAATTTGACCTAGTGCGCTTCCGCTGCAAAAGCGGCAATTAGCGCAAAAGCGACTTTCGGTTGCAAATGCGGCAACAGGCGCGGTCCGGAGGCTCCCTAACCGCGGGGATGTACGTGCATACGGGCCTAGAAGGAGATCACGGGCCTGTAATAGGGTTCTCCCCTCAAAGGCAGTGGATCGGCAAAACTGAACAACTCAGGATTTTGACGCGGTAGGTTGGTTATCACCCAAGTATGAATAAATGCATCCCGGTCGCACAACATCCCTTCCCTGCAGAGAAAATTGCCCTCAAACTTACACGCGCAAGCCGATCTTACACGCGCTCGGACGACTTGGCAATCCCCCTCTCGCCATTGGAGGCTGTATAGATATTTATATACAGATGTTTTATGTAGACAGTGTTTACGTGAGCAAGTAAGAATTTTTGTAGGATTTTTATGAACTGAGATACGATTTTTTTCGATTATTCGGGTTGCTGAGTCTTTTCAATTCTTAGCTAAAAACTCGAGGTGGATGAGAGCTGTTGCAAAAGCAAGATGGCCCTCTTGTAGAGCTTGCTTTGCTTTATCGAATGGTACCTTGCAACTTATCTAAAAGTGAAAAGTGCATGACTTATTGCGGTTGAAATTTAAAACGGGCATTAATTTCCGGACAACCTAATAGAGAGAACGCGACGAGGTCCAACTGCGAAAAGTCGCCATGCCCTTGTTCCCTTAACTCCTGTGGGCGTACTTGGGCATGCCTCCTCTTTTCTTTTTCGAACCAAAAACGATAGGCAGTCGGTAAAACCGCTACTCTCGCTTAGTTTAGCAGCCGGTTCCCCACTAGAGAATCAGAGCTTCGATCATATGAATAGGCAATTCTTGAACGTTGCGTAATCATCAAATCTATCATCAATGTTTTGTAACTACTTGTCTTTGTGTTCGAGCAAGATTTCTGCTAATCAAACCTTTTCAATGGTTTTCTATGATTATTTTCGAATTTACTCGAGAACTCGGTAAAATAAATTTTTTGTCAATTCTTTTTGAAACTAGAAAATTAACTGTTAGTAAGATTATCGTTTTTTCCACACTTGCTGTTACCCCTGTTCTGCATCTCTGACCTGCGCCACTTATGGCTAACATTTTGGCAGAACATCTTGACAACCATATTAGCGTCAGCGCCGACATAGTTTCATGCTGCATGATTTCCCCTTTCTAACGAAGTCGACAGAGCGAAACTCAGCTGAGGACATAAGAAGATGCAGGTTTTTGAAAATAAAGCTTTCAGAATTTTTGATTTGACCTAATATAATTCTGCAAATTCATTGCAAAAGTATGATAAAACGTTTATTATATAAGCCATCACATAGTAAGATAACAATTTACAACTTGAAGTAAATAGAAGGATGAAAGCTGTCTCAAAATGTGATATCATTCATAAAGTCGTCATATCTAAAGTGATAGCATGCAGAAGAAGACAGTGTTGGAAAAAGAAGAGCGACAATACACTGTCGAGACGTTGGCAGAACGGGCTGGTCGCCAATGCAGACAAAGCTACTCGCAAATCACGCTTGTATCAGTACAATTGCCGTTACCAATACATGCGCTTTCAACCGCAGCCCTGTGATCAGCATTGTCAGCCAATTCGTGCGTTTGACGACTCGACGGTAATTGCATTATCGCATTAGCTTGAGATGAAAGAAAAATAAAAAAAATCGTACACGTATTAGTGCAGTAAACAACGGGTGCAGTTTATCTTTCAAAAAGTCCTAAAAATAAAACCAATATCTAACAAAAGTAGCACTGAGAATGCTAAAACAGGAGCAGTGATCAAAGGTGGGTTTCAGGTTTCAAGACCTTTTAGCTCCACCTATGTTCACTAGGGAATGGCAGTCAACATCGAGTTCAGAGGCTCACAGGAGAAGATGGTGGCGATACAATAGCAAATGCTGCAATCCAACATCCTCAGATCATCTGAGTAAACATCCAAAATATTCGTTGATTTTCAACGGGTATTCTTGGAGTATACGGTACTTCTTCGCATTGTACACCTAAAAGTCAGCAGATGAAATCGGATATTTATGATTGGCGGCGCACCTTGATTGTATGAGCTTTCGTGTACATCAACATGGTGTTTCCACCAGTATAGACGATGCCGAGCAGGTCTCTTGGCAATTTTGGAAAGTACCTGAATGCGGATCAAAACCTGCCGAAACATGAGGTAATGGCACAGGTAAAGGGCTACTGCATGACGAAGGCGCAGAAGCAGTATTAGTTGAGCCGGCGCGAATGCGGCGCGCGTATCCTCGCCATTGTAAATCCTGCGCCTCATGCGCTCTGCGGTTAATAAAGGCGTTCGCGCCCAAAGATATTGCGCTCTCGTCATGCAGCAGCGTATACTTATAAAATTACTAACTTCTTTGTCTGCCCAGAGAATGTGGCAAGATTCCAATAAGCGTCATAGATAACGAATCTGTCACCCTGAAAAGGTGTCGTTAACGGCAGTTTTCCTTTTTACTAAAGTACTTCTAACCGATAATAAAACTTGGTTGCCATCCATCCATTCAAATGCTGTTTGTGGAGTTGTGATGTTGAGCGGCAACTCCTGTGGCGTATTACGCGCTAACTAAAACGATACATTATCAAACATTGCCGCGATATCTTGAGCAGCTTGTGTGCTTCGTATAGCAGAGAACTGTTATCTATCACAACTTTCAGTAAATGACAGCTTTGATGTTAAACTCCATTGATTTTTTGTTTTACTCCGTTGTATGTGCTTGCTTGAACATAATTTTGTATCAAAACTGTGACTGCATGATGGTGACAAATGTCAAGATGGAAGTCCATTATGAAGGAAAGGGGAAGGAGATCTCGCAAATACTTATATATGCACATGCATGTGTACAGGCTGAGAATACACTGCTTTACATCAAACGGCTCTTGCGGGCTGAATTGCTACACAATTCTGTTGAATGCTCACTTAAGAACGAAATTTCTTTGCCTTAAAGGCAGTGTCCGGGCAAAAACTCGATTTTGAGATTTTGTGCTTACCCGGGCGTATTCGTTACGCTGAATCCGAAAATGCATATTGGAAAGCGCGAAAACGACGAAAAAGGGCTCTAACACAGGAGGAAAATCAGCAGGTGGGCTGGGTCTTCCCCAATGTGAATTCACGCTCCCAGCTTCCGGAGCGATCTTCTCGTTTCCGGTTTCATGTCAATCATTCGCTCGTGGCCGGTAGCGATGTTAGGACGGCTAGCGGGATCGAGAACACCGCTTCGGAAGGTGGAAGCGTGAATTTACAGTGGGGAAGACCCCACCCACTTGCTGTTTCCCTCCTGCACTAGACCTTTTTTCTCCGTTTTCGCACTTTCCCATGTGGATTTTCGGATTCAGCACGGCGAATAGGCTCATATAAGCACAAAATCTCAAAATCGAGTTTTTGCCCGGACACTGCCTTTAAGTAGGAAACAACTGACTCGTTCACAACTCTCGTCGATATTTTAATATATAATATTTGACTTTCAAGGGAAGAGTACTTGGTGACCGTGGCTTTCTAATATGAAGCGTATACCATTAGATGCATCTTGAAGCGCTGATTTCAAGTCTGCTTTCGGTATCTCGAGTGCGCTCTTTTAGAGAAGTTATGAACAAATTTTGCCGCCAAAAGTTGCACTGCTTTGTTGACAAGATTTACTAATATCGTTAGAATGTTCACTTACACACTACAAAAGAGCGTCCAAATAGTAAAGCTTTACATTGAGATCGAAAAACTGTCTGGTGTATGTCTAGAAAGCCTGGATACTGATGATGGCTGCCCAGATCTCGTGAAATTAATATGGAAGTCCATAACTTCGTTCAATTGCGCAGCAGATAATGAACAAAGAGCTGGAATTAGCGTTTCAAGAAGCATCTAAGGGTATACATCTCACTGCGAAAGGTCACGATCACCAAGTATCCTTCCCTTGTTATTCACTTCTGCATGTTCGTCCAAAAAGGGATGGGAATCATAAAATCCAAACCAAATTTGACAGACATGATGTAGGGGGGTGGGCCGCGTGTTAACGGACTTTTTATTTGGGTTGTCCTTATTGATTTATTGATTTTTTGCAGTTTCTGCTTAGAAAACTTATCCTTATATGGTATTTGACTGGTCACTTTTTTATGTTCGATGGAAAAGGATAGAAGGAGTCATGGAATCTGAACCAAATTTGGCATATGTATGAGCTGGGGAGTGTGTTAATTGTTTGCGACACACGGATTTTCTCATTGATTTACTGCTACTTTGGTTAGAAATCTTTATATTCGATCAAAAGGATAGAAGGAATCTGTCATGAAATCTAAAGCAGATTTGGCGAGCATGATGCGTAGGTTGCGGCGTGTGTTAAAAGCTATTTTGTTCGGGACTTACCGATTGCCCATAACAAAGTATTGATTTTTTGCAGTATTTGCTTAGCAGTTTTGATATGACCAACCAATTGAAGAATCGAAAACTTGTTGCTAACAATTTATTGATCACTGACGTTTTTTTTACTTAGCAGTTTTATCATGATTGGCCTAAAATGTTTAAAAAAGTAGGGATCTGAACCAAGTTTTACAAACATAAGCATCGGGATGGGACAGCTTTCAATGAGCTATTTTCATTAAATTAGATTATCGATTATTTTTTTGTATTTCAAGCCTAAAGGGATAAGAGTTGGCATTGAAGGGCAGGCAAGCATGTCACCAATTAAAATTACTTTATTTGACCTTTTCTATCTATTTATTAATTATTGTATGCCTTCCGGAGAGCTTGCTGTTATTTAAGCACTCTCAGTGCGTTGTTAGCCATATATCCCGCCCGTATCGCGTATTCAATATGATGACGCAAGCCTTGCCCAGGGCCCGGCACAGATCGTCTGGAAGCAGGCTGGACTTCGTTTTTGAAGCAAACAGCAAAGGAGATATCGTTTCTGACGAATAGGGGTTAAGCACCAAGAATGAGCGCCACTTAGTCGAACGCAAGCTTTTCGGACAGATTATCACACGATTGACATGCTCTATCGTGCATGGCGAAAAGTGCGCGCGATTTGAAAGCAAGGCTCAAATAATTGAATTGCTTGTTTACAGCGCCTACAGAAGCATATGACACCAAAATTGAACTATATGTATAGAAAATTCTTTGCGAAAGTATTATGTAAAAAGATTTGAAAACTTATGTGAAATAATACCTTTTCCAAAATTAGATCATCTCCAGACGGCCACCAGACGATCTGAGATCGTCTGGAGCATATAATTTCGTCAATTCACATAAGTTTCGGATCTTTTCAGCATGGACGGATTCCCCGGTCAAAAATCTATCCCTGAGCATAAGACATTTTCAAATCATTGCCTTTCCCTTGTTTTTTGCCTTCATTTATTCTCGCTTTGTTAAATATCGCGCTCTAATGCCAAAGTCTTGTGCATGCGTAGTATTCAGCTCCAGTTTGGTTTTCGCTCTTATTTTACGTCTTTTCTTTCAAACTAGTAATTTTTTCTTGTTTTCATCTTCTTCTAAGCAGGTAGTCAAAATCGAAGTCAAAAGGGACTTCGTAAAACTTTCTTAAGTCAGGGGAGACTTCGTTTTCAGAAACCCTAGAAACCGACTCGTGCCGGGCCCTGGCCTCGCCCATCGCATTTCTTTCAAATGCTTCCGATTCTCGATGACGTCCTTCCTTCACTTCACTTTACTGCTTAAGAAGTATTGCATACCCTCTGGTTCATTGGGACTGGCGACTGAAAGGCAGAACTTTGATCGTTAATCAGTCCCGATAACGATTAAAGAGCCTGTTCGCGAGAGAGATGCAAAGCTCAAATTCTCAACTACCATCCGCCAACGCAATGATACAGAGGGCAAAATCTTGAATTAAAATAAGTTGACAAAGCCAAAAGTATGTCTTAGTTTTCTTTTATGCAATAAACCGGAGTGATCTGAGAGGCAACGAAGCTGCCGGGTACCAGCCGAACCTGCCGCATAGCGGCAGAGAACGGCTGGTGATAGATTTGGTTTGAGTAGTAGAAAGTAAACTGAGCATGAGAATTTATGGAGTACCCGTGCGTACGTGGCAAGCTTCTCAAAATGATTTAGCACATGCCACTTAGCAAAATGCGTATTTTTGGGGCGGGCGGGGAGCACTTTTTCCAAACATAGATCTCAGTTTAGTGTTCGCAACACAATAATTTCAATTTTAGATATGGCTCCAGCAATTCGAGAAGGCCTCGAAGGGGTGAAAAAGTGGAGAGCGAAATTTTGCGGGGACACTGCCTTTAAGTCATAGACATCCTCGGTACTCCAAACTACGGAAAGGTGAAGAACTTGTAAGCCGAACAAGGATACTTAAAATCGCTTCGAGCTAATTGTGAATATAACCTTTAATCCAACTGGCTTGGCTTTAAGAAGGTGGGGCTTTGTGACCTAATCAAGGCCGCTTGCGCCCGCGTCGCACTTGCGTCCCTGAGAATGCTGCCTGATCATTCATTACCTAGCCTTAATTAAGTCACGAAGCCCCGCCTTCCCGAAGCCAAGCCAGTTGAACCAAATGGTATATTTATCTGTCAAACGACTATCTGGATGGAGTCATGGGGGCGAGGGGTTTGAATGTGCGATTGAAAGTGCGATTTGTTAGGTGTTCTGGGACGCATGTTCGACGAAATACGTCTAAAAAACACTTGCTCAAGTTTTCAGTGAGATTGCTTCTTTCGTGTAATTGGAATACCCATAGCTACTGTAAATCTGCGCCATCAAGCTGCCACCCAAGGAACTGCATTCGTTGGAACTCGAATGGTTTCTCATATTTGAATGCTCATGACTCCGTCCTCTTAATCGTCCGGCAGATAATAAACTACAATGAATATATTTGAAGTCAGCGTTTCTAAGCGAGTCTGATGATTCACAGCTTTTATGAGCAGGCTGAGTTAAGTTTTGACCATATTCTACTCAGTAAGATGAATGATGCTGATGTTTGCTTGAACCACACCCCCTCTTTGAATAAATTCATTTCAAAATCACCCACAGTGTAAGACCAGACCGTCCTGCATAATTTTTGTAACTACTTACTTGAAATCTTTTATGTTTCCTGTTCCATCTGAACCGATATGCAGTCCTTTTGTTGATTAAAATCGTCACTCCTGATCGCGAATTGGTCAAAGCCGCGGAAACCGATCGCGGGCCTCCAGGAAATAGTTCTGTGATGAGATAGGAGGCCTGAAAAGATTGATTCTCAGAACGTCTTTCACTATGCAACCCCAGTTGCGAATCTTATTTCTTAAAGTTGGGCGCGGCGCATCTGCAATAGGGTCAAGCTGGATATTGTTTTGGGGAAAACCAAAGGAGATATTGTTTGTGGGTCTAGAGCGGAACTCTGGAAAAACTGCAGTATGTCTTGAAATCCCAATATATAATGAAAAACTAAAAAAACAAAAACTTGAGCGCTAACGCTCTTATAGTCCCAATCACAGTGTCATAGAATTATAAGGTGTGCATTATCCACATCCGATTATCTTTTTTGGATCAAACATATACTTTCTTTGACGGATCACTTACTTTTTGCGGAAGATCATCCTCATACCACATCTGATACACCCGATCTCGTGCAAACGCATACGTTCGACCATTATAGCCTAAAGTGTACGACTGTCGGTAAAAAAAGAGAATTTTCTCTTCTGTTTGAGAAGCAAGTGGTTCGTTGCTCACCTCTAGTTATAGCGTCAAACTTATCTGGACACATATCTACCGGCAATGCCACAGCAGGACGATCTGGCCTTTTCGGAGTTGGAGGCTTTCGTGGCACGACATGTGTGATACGCCATGGCGTCAAAGCCAAATCTCGTCTCATTTTTTGTACTAAAAAATACGATTGATTTCACAAGAATTTTATGGTCCAATTTTGCTTGAAAGTGAAAATGCTTATAGTGTTGATGGTTGACTTCGTAGTGAAAGATTGAAGGAGAAAATTAGCAACTAATTCAGTGTAGTTGAATTTTTGTTCCAATCGCAATGAAGAACTAATCACTTTGAGTTAGAACATACTTTAAGCTAAGAAGAACTTTGCTTCTAAAAAACGTTTTCCAAACCTCTAGTTATCTGTCGAGCCCTCCGTCGCCTAGCTGGATCTTGGCCACTCCTTCGAATTAATTCCAACTTTTCTGCTAGGGTTAATTTTGGAAGTTCCGGAGGTAAAGAGTCTTCTTCGAAAGTGTTTGGTTTTGATGCTTCCTAAACAAGTCATAGATAATTTCCAAGAAGGATGAGGCAATCTCAATGAAGTTTTTCTACAAGTTTTTTTCAATATTTTGATATGTACGGGCAGCAGACTTACTATGACTACTGTCGAATTCTGACTTTGATTCGCCTCTTCCTCTTGTGGAGCCGAAATTATCACTCTGCTAGAAACCCCACAGAACATACAAATGAATAGCAGAGGTTTTTTCATCCTGAATAGAAACTATTGGGATGGTTGATTAGGACGTTTACACTGTAAAAACAGGCTAATTTCGATACAAAGAGCACAGAATGATACTTAAAAAGCACGATTGATGATAGCAAATGTTTGATAGATAGAAGAACAGTATAGTAGCATACATATATGAGGAATGTCAAATTCTTCCTCAGCTCGTACACTTTGCCGCCTACAGATAGAGCTAATTTCTATTAGAATACTTTGTGATTCGTGCAGTGCTGCCGTGCCTCTCCCGAAAAAGCCGCGAGATAGGCGAGAAAAATGATTAGTGTTAACACTCCTGTAAACAGTATTTGGTTGCAGGAGTTTGCTCAGAGCAGAAGCATCAACTTTCTCTTTTCGTTTTCTGCTGTTCAATAAAGTTCTTTGTAATGCTGGTCGCAGAATTATCCTCATGATCACCAGTTCTGAGCAGCGCATCACAGAACTTTTGTAAACATTCTTTTCTTGTCGTTGTAATGCAGTTTTGATCATCCTATCAGTAACAAGAACCGTTGCTGTGGAAGCTGCAACTCGTAGAGCATAGGTGGCGAGAGTTGTAGCATAAACAGAGCCGTTGATGGGAGATATTCTCAAAACGTCTTTTATTAACAAAACTGTATTTTCTAATAATGTGTTTGGTGGTTGATTGGCAAACTGCTTCACTCTCAAACTGACTTGCTCGGCTTTTAGCCAAGCCTAAAAGTTTAATAGTAATCATTCCGCTCGTAAACAGTATTGCACGCTTGACCTGCTATCGAGGCTTACAAGTATATAGCTTTCATTTTGACATTTTACAGTGAAAAATCCAACATACTTAACCAAATGCAGGCGAGCTAGCAAGTAAGCAATGACAAAACTTATGAAGCATAACATCTGGAAAAATCAAAACTTTGTAGAAGAAAGTTTGCTTTCCAGCGGAAAGTTGGCAAATTTATAAACTCTTTTCATTCCTCTCCTAAAAGGAAAGAAAAAAGATTTACTACTGCCTGTCATTCCGAATTTTGCGTAAATAGCTGGATTCCTTTTCGCTAAGCTCACTCACAGAAATAGTTTGATGTTGTAATGATTGTGAGGCGGTTTTCTAAGGATGATCTGAAAAGGCCCAAAGTTCTACAGTCGTTGTCATCAGTCGTATTGTTCTGATCAATTTTTGTTTTACCGCACGTCTTCTACTCTGGCCGATGATTATCCCAAGCACTAATATGAAAAGATCTATAAATATTATTTTGAGACTGAAATCACTAGCACATAGAGGTGCTTGATTTCGAGAGGAGAGGACAGGCTAGTGGAAATGATTTTGAAAACAGACGAGTGAAAACAACCTACTTTAATAGATTTAATAAGAAACTAGAGCTTCGAAAACGGTTCAGTCGTAAACTTTTAGAGTTTAAACAAATTATGCCTGTTAACCGGGTTTCAGCAGCAGCAAAGTATTTATGAGAACATTGAAGCACAGTCGAAATGATGAGTATACATAGCATGGTATAGGAAGTCCTAGTTTCCAGTGAATAAACAAGGAAGATAATCTATCAAACAGGTGATTTACAATGTGTCGATGAGATATTCGGGAAGATTGGTGATGCGAGATTCAAGAAGAGATTGCCCTATTGAAGCGGGAGTTGAACTTTGGGGCGCATTATAGCACACCATCATTTTACAGAGGCTTAGAGTTGTGCAGGCTACTACAAAGTGTTCTACCTAGAGGAAAACTTTGGTATGCAGAAGGACTTCATTATCTCCACTATCTATCATTCGCAGTTTCGAAACCTGTAGTAGTGATTGGCTATCCGCAAGACTGGCAATGTTTATTCAAAGAACTGCTTCACTTCTTTCACAGAAGTAGTGCATTTCTTTTGCCATAGTCAGACTAGGATTCAATCACACCGTCGCAATCACGATGAAGACATGTAGGTCCAAAGTTGACATCTTAATTGCGCCACCCAGAAGAGAGCTTATTCAACCTCAAAGAAATGTGATGATGTGGACTTTACTATGGATTTTGGAACAAAACCTTTATCACTTCATCCTCAAAGCAGGCTATTCGTTCATTATTTCATTTCATTTCATTTCATTTGTACGCTCAAGGCGTTCCATAAAAAAAGACACATCAAGAAGTTAGTAATACAGCGGAAACGAACAAGACATGTAAACAAATGCAGACATCATCATGTCAGTGATGATGTCTGCATTTGTTTACATTATACGAGAAAATATGGAAAGCACTAATCCCCTTCATTTCAGATAACTTTTTTTTCTCGTTTGCCCTAAAATTTGCATAACACCTCAATCTTTGATAGGTCAGGACTCAAGTGCGAAAAATTATGTTGCACAGCCGCCAAGCCGAGTTGATTTTGAAACTATTTATAGGTTCGTTGAATAACATCAAATTAATTATATTCAGCAATTACTGTCGTAAGGAACATTTATCAATAAGAGCTGAATTTCACTGAATGAGCTTTTGGTGGCGAATAAATAGACCCTCCTCCCTTCTCATAAACGCACTATCCAGACAATCTGAGAGTTAATAAAATTTTTTTGATCTTGAGACTGCTTTGGATGCATTCTTAAGCCGTAGCTCAAACAACAGCTAATATAAATCTTGTAGCAGAGGTATGTAACTTCAAACTCTGGCCCATGGTCTAATTTCACCATAATCGAGGGCGCTGATTGGTCCCTATTCACTGAAGTACATACGTTGTGTCTAAGTTTGAAGTTAACTAAGGACCCCGACCTTTTTAAGAAGTTCAGGTAACCAAACTCATCTGAACATGGTTCCATTCTTAACGATTCTCATCTTCAGAAAAAGTAGACTCTGAACCAATAGAAGCAGACAGAAAGTAATAGAATGAAAGCCAAAGAGAGCATAATTTAGGGAGTGTCAAGCTCATTACGGTCTGCCAAAGAAAACGTAAAACCTTTTCTTTCTCAAACGTGTTTTTGTATAGCAAAAGTAAGTATCATTGTTGGGATATTTTGAGAGATGATGTCAGCGCCTGTTACGATAAATAGAAGCGTACGCTTACGAAAAATGATTAATTCTGAGTGATAGTTTGTTGTGAATAAATTCTCGCGCGTGCTTACTATTTCTGTGCTTACCAGTGAGAAAAAGTCGGCATTACGTGATACATACTTTGATGCTTTTGCAATATAAACGTCGCGCCCTTGAGAAGCCGAGAAAAATATCGCAACGGAAGTGAAGGCTCGCTGAAGGTTATTCGATGTACTCCGATGAGCTGGTACTGGGAAGGTCTCTTAACAGTTTCGGACAGAAACTGTTGAGATGTGAAGTTCTATCTAGTAGGGCTATGTTCACCTACTGACGTTTGTACTATGCGAGAATTCGCAAAACTCAAAAACACTGAGTTTTGCTGCTGTGGTAGTAAACTTACGATGAATTTTCTGCTGAAATAAGCTCTAGAAGAAAAAGGTGACACAAAATGTATAGTTAAGGAAAACTGAGACTATAATATATAGGAAAAAAGATGGAAGTTTGATTTAATTTTACCCAACATCTTTATTTATTTGACTTGAAAATAACAACTGTTGATGCAGGGATCTCATCAACAAAGCAGAACTAAATGGTAAAATCACCATACTTAGTATTGCGAGACTGTTCTTGGAGTTCTTGATCATTTGTAATCTACTGTCGAATTTCAGGAAATGAAAACTCTTCCACATAGATAAAAATTCTGAAGTACCTAGTTGTAATTAGAAATGAAATAAATAAACTTCTTTGCTTACAAGAAAAGAATTCACTCAAGCATCGAACTTCGACATTTTTTGAATATACCCATCTACAACCGGCAATGATCAGCGTACACCTAAAATGCCATAACTCACTCTGCTGTATGAAATGTTCCAAAATTTGGTACAACCGGGTATATATCAGCCTACTGACAGTCATCAAAACGGGTCTGTCTTCGTTTGGTTATTCAAGAAAAAGTCAAAAATTTGCAAAAAGCAGGCTTGAAGACTGGTCAAAAGTTTTTTCTCATTGAAGCACTTCTTAGCTTCCGTGTTTTTTTAACCCATTGACGACGATGTGGACCACCGGTGGCCTACGCGATTTTTGCTGCCAGGGATGATGTGGACCGCCGGTGGCCCACAACTCTCGCAAAGTCGTATTATTTGCAGGTCTAGTATTTTTTCCACATATGAATATTTTTTCCAATTTTTTGTATTCTTAGGAGCTATAGGCTCTGTCGCTCAAGAAAATGTTAATAGTTGTTTACAAAACAATGTTGCATTTCGTAAATAAGCACGAAACCTTTCCACACTGAAAGTGTTGTGCAAAATCGCGTCGTCCCATAGCGCCGCCGCGCAAAATTAGGCGTCGTCGTCAATGGGTTAAGTAGGTACACAGCCAAACGTGTTAAACAGTTACTTCAGTTAGGCTGGGTCGTATCCCAAAAGAGCCGATTATCTGCTTTCTTGCCTTGAAGATGCTTTCACAATTATTTCGCACCAGGAAAATACAGTGAGTAGGAATATTGTGCACGTTCTCAGCTGGTTCTGAAGTGATCAGGGTTTGATCTACCTTTCAAATGCTTTTCGACGTGTGCACTGAGAAAATCTGAGTTTTTACTACTAAAGCATATCCGATATCGACCCACAGAAGTCTAAGCCTCAATTTCTGCCCTAAATCCCTTCCTGCATCATCATTGTAACCCGAAGATATAGTAGAAGCATTCTTCACAAGAAGAACCTGTACGCCTCACTCAAAAATGTTCACAAAACTACCCTTTGCTTCTTTTTCGAAATATGAAGTGTGCGGCGTAATGATGGTGTTACCCACTTCCAATTTAGCTTGCCAAGTGCTACCTTACTTATTGTTAGATTTTCGAGAGTAATTATCCACTAGATAGCAACATTGTAATGTGGGTTAGTACGTGATTCTCCAGAAGAATTTGGACAGCCAGAATTAGCTCTGGTGCTTGTCGCAATCAGTTTCTGCAAGGTGATGATTTCCGCAATTATACCTAAATGCTAGGA